TTCATCCCTGAAAACATCGTTACTCATATCCCACCCATGCATGTGATGAGAAGGGCCAACTCCATCCATCATATTCTGCCACCCGAGTGAGGGTAAATGTCCAGAGAACCTCTCAGCATCAGCCATATGATAAGGAATTCCAGAATGCCCCATTTCGATTGAGGGTCTAACACCAAATGGGAATTGAGGTATCACAGGTTGAAGAGGTGGACCATGTGGAAATGGAATGAATCCGTTTGGAACTGGAGAAGGCCAGTTTGGAGCGTTCCTCCATGCATTTCCTTGTCCTCTTCCCATATTAATAGCACCGCCCCTCTTGTAGCGCCCGCCAATATTGACCCTGCTATTCTCTTCAAGCGAGCCCACTATAGGGCTGCCAATTCCACCCCTAGATTCGGGGCGTGGTCGGAAAGACGAATTGCTCTGGTGGGTTTTATTACTAAAAGATAATTCTGCCTGCAAGGAATCATCTCCTAATGGCCTCTCGCAAGGTAAATCCCTACTTAATTTATCCCCGTAAGCTGACCTCTGGCTTGTTTCTTCAACACCAAGACTTGGCCCTGAACCACTTCGGTTTATGTTTCTGCGCTCAAGACTTGTGCAAGAGGGAGATTTTGCTATTAAACCCCGAGGCGAAGCTTTTGTACTGGAAGACCTTTCGACCGACAACTCACCCAGAGAATCCTCCATCTTCGGTGTTTTCTCAGAAGCTCTATATTTAGAACCTCCCTCTGATCCTCCAGATAGATCAGCTGCGTCCCTGGAAAAGATCCCTTCTGGTCTCTGATCCAAAATATGCCTGTCATGAAAACAAAACAATGATCAAGACTTTTCACTATGAGCCCAAGAAAACGAAATGGCAGGCAAAAAGTTCTTACAGTTATTGAAAAATCAAACATACTAACTATTAGTCCAATTAATTCTGGTAGCCAACCAAAGATCTTTAACACAAGTTTAAACTGAACACAAAATTCGAAAACAGATCAATTACAAATAAGCAAAACAGCGATCGCAATTACTCAGATGGTAAAAGAACTGAAATTATACCCGATATCATCTTGAGCCCCGTGAGAACTGGAGGGTCGTGATCTGCCACTTCTGGTCTCCATGCCTGCATGAGCTGCAATGGTCCTAGATTTGCTGTCACTTAAGTCATCATGATCATCTGGAGACCTCCTCCTTTCCCCACTATCCTTGTGATGACCGCTTTGGTAATCAAGATGAGGCACATCCTGATCAAAATCTCTGTCAGGTTCGCTTTTGCTTCGTTCAAGACTATGGTTTTTGTCTCCATCACTGGTCCTGTCCCTATCATGATCCCAGTCTCGATCTTGATCTCTACTCCGATCATGTTTCCAATCACGTTCATGGTACTGATCACGCTCGTAATCATGATGATCACGGACACGTTCCCTATCCCTATTCCTATCAGGCTTATGATCACGGTCTCGATCTCGATTTCGATCATATTCTCTGTCACAGCCCCGACTGTGTTCATAATCACGAGAACGGTCACGACGCCCATCATGTTCCCTGTCAGGCTCATGCCCATGTTCATGGTCATTGTCCTGAAATTTTGAGTTCTTCTGTTTACTTCCTGAAGCCACGTTTTCACCTCGGAAGAG